CCCTGATATATATATATATATATATATATATATATATATCATCCTTTTGGAGTTCTTTTTCAGAAATTGCAAAAAGAGATTTGATTATGCGTTGAAGAAGATTGCTCATGAAATTAAATCTGTTCCACGTTTGCTCTTGATTGCATGATATTTGCTCGAAAATGCATGTTATTGATGATACCTAGAGATTTCTTTAGATTCGAGAGAATGTCGTAAATTATGTATATTTGAATCGACATGTTGGAGCGTGTGCATCGATTCAAACTTTAATAATCATAATTTGATTTTTCATATAAAAACTTCTTCGCAACAGATAATCAGACGGAACGTATTTCAGAAAACTATATGCTTTTTAAAATAAATTTTAAATATTAATGATATATTAATACTAAAAAAATGTTTTAATTTCAAAAGCCTTTGACACAGTAAACCATGAATTGCTATTGGCTAAATTTCATCACTATGGTTTATCTCCTAGCTATTTCCTTTTTCCGTTCTTATATCTTAAACCGCTCTCAACAGCTCGCAATTTTCTTCCTATGCTATCCTCACTTCGCGGTGTGCCGTCTGGTATTCTTCAGGGTTCTATTCTTGGTCCTCTTCTCTTGAGTTGTATGTTATTGCTGATTAGTAGCATCATTGTCGTTATTGTCGCATCTTTACATATTATTTAAATATCACTAAATCCTTTTATATGAATACGAGCTCCAGTCCCTGTATCATGTCTCAATTCTTTATTTTTATTATATCTCCCCTATGTATCCGCATTCTTACATGTCAATCCTTCCTAGTCTTTTAACCATCCCGTGTCTCAAAAATGCAAAGTTGCATATGTTCGTAAACTGTATCCTTTTCGTCATGTTCTTTCTATTTCGCAAAAACTTATGATCTCCCATCTTCTTTCCTTATTTAATTATATTGACACTGTTTACATACCAGCGCATATATCAAAAATTTATTCTGCATTTGTGTTGCTTGGTCTTTAATGTTTTGCATTCTAATACTCAATCTTATCTTCGTGATTGTCTTTATTTCATTCATGAGTTTCACTCTAGCTCTTCCTCTATCTAATAGCTCGCTACCAATCTTTTCTTTCTTATCCTCTACAATATTCTACATCATTCGACTATGTTTCAGGCTGCGTTTTCTTACGTAGCTGTAAAGTATTTCAAGTCCTTACCCTTCTACATTCGCTCTTCTTTCTCTCTTACCGCTTTCAAGTCTGCTTTCAAGTCCGAATATCGAATGCGTGATTTGTAGATGTTGTACACAGAAAAAAAATTTCTTCTTGAAGAATTCTTGAATCAACCATAATATACTCATATATAGGTACAGCAAAAATACTGTAATCTTGCTTTAAAAATTTTAGTCTTGATTTAATTGAATTTGTTTTGATGCAAGTATTACTTTGCATTCAATTCTATAGCTATGCGTACTAATTCCGTTTTTTCTTTCTTCGTTCATTATTCTCATCTGTAGTATTGTTTGTTTGTGTGTGCTCTTGTATTTATTATAATTATTTTTAATACAATTATTATTATCATTATCCCATATTTTTATTTCTTCTTCTTTTCGCACATGTTCTAAGTTTTAATTTGATGCGTTTCTTTTGCTGCTTATATCTATCTATTATCGAATTTGTATTTATATTCTGTTTCTTGTTCCACTTATTTGCTAATCTACGTATCTATTATCAAATTTGTATTTCAATCTTATTCTATTTTTATTCCTGCTTCGGATTTAAACTTTTAGATAGCATTACTGCTTGATGTCTTGTCCATTGATTACGTATTTTCTTTTATTGCGTTCATACTATTACTACGTGTTGTTTTTACTCACATTATTAAAGTTATTATTACTAATATCTTTCTTGTTAATCTACCGTTTTAATACATTTAACGAGAAATTCTGAGGAAAGTGAAAATAATATTTTAGCTAATTATAAAAATTGTATTACACATTTTATGTAAAAAGCAAATTCATATTAAAGTCATTATTAATTTATGGTAAGCGCCAAAAGTCAGTAACAAACCTAACAATAACATAAAAATATACATACTCATGTATGCACGCAATTCTTGCCACAAACATGCATAAACACACACGTCATTAATATATTTGTAGCTCTATTTGAAGACTGTGACACGAATCGCAATAAACAAACGTGGATGCTTTAAATATAACAACATGACTATACGTTAAAATTGTAAGAAGCGGCATTAATATTTATTAATTTTATTATATATAATTAGTTGTTATTATATATAATTAAATAATTGATTTATATGTATATATAGATAGATAATTTGTTAATTAAAATAAAATTATTGACTCACAACAAATATTATATTATGACAACACTTGTTATTTGAATAATTCCATCTTATACGATCATTATAGTTAAAAAATTGGACGAGACTTTTTTCGGAAAATTAGATTAAAGTTTTATAAATAAAATTCAAATTTTTACGTATATATAAATTTCTACCAAGACTGATGATTTATGAAATCATTTTTTATCCATTTTCAGTGATTTCCTTTTATTCTTACAATTAATGAACAAGCAATTTATTTGCATCAAAAGGCAAACGTAAAATCTATTATGCAATCGAATCGGTGATCATTATTCACGTCAAATCGGATCAAAGTAAGACACATCAAAGAAGACAGCGACCTGTGCATGAATCATGAGCACGTCATAATTTATTTTCAGACAAAGTGACCATCTGTCACGGAAGGGAATGCTGGTGAATGCGTCATACGACGTCACTAGAATTCGATCGAAGATAATTTGCTGACGAAAGCACATTACTGACGACACTTTTGATAAATATTTTAAAGATTTTCTGTGCCTCATTTTTTTAACAAATCTTACAAAATGCATTCACTCCGTCGTCTTATTGATTACATCACTTACCTAACTTTGTTGTAAAAGCTAACATATAATAGTATTAATTTTTCGATATTACATCTGATTAATTCCAATGATAACGATATTTTCAGTATTATCGTAAGTTATGATATGTTCAGAGAGAGAGAGAGAGAAAGAGAGAGAGAGACAACAAAAAATATACACTTCAATATCCGAATACAGAAAATTTTTTAAAAAGTCTTAAAAAATTAGCAAAATTCTTATTTTCAAGTTTCCATTAGAAATTAGATTTTATGTACAGTTACATACTCCGTATGTACAAAGTGCAAACACTTGCGTGTTTTTCTAGTCATTAACATAATTGCTAGTATGTTGAAGTCATTATATATGTAAATATCGGTTACATACCGACA